AAGCGCTTATAATCGGCCTGGAGATTTTAATTGAAATGGCTGTTAGAGATGTAAAGATTTTGGGAGATTCAAACTTAGTCCTTAGCCAAATTTCTGAAGATTTTAAGTGCCTAAGTTGGCAATTAAGGCCGTTTCATTCTCTGGCCACTTCATTAATCAATCAATTTGATAATGTTCAACTTAAGTTCTGGCCCAGAGGGCAGAATAAGGAGGCCAACAGCATGGCCCAAGCAGCCTCTGGAATAAGAGTACCAGCCGGAATAGAAGATCAGTTGATAAAGATAACACGAAGATCTTTGCCATCGGCCGAATTGAGAAATACTATGTTGTTTGATACTTAGACAATTGATGTAGAAGATTTGGCCGACGATGACTGGAGGATACCATTTATAATGTTTCTTCGAAATCCAAACATCAAGGCTGATAGAAGTATTAAAAGAAAAGCGATCAACTTTGTGCTTCTAGATGGGGATCTATACAAAAAAGGGTTAGAAGATGGGCTCCTACTACAATGCATAAGCAAGGAGGAATCACTTCAGGTTATGGCCGAGGTACATGAGGGCAGCTGTGGGGCTCACCAAGCTGGGATTAAAATAAGATGGCTGATTCACAGGTATGGATATTATTGGCCGAGGATGAGGAAAGATTGCATAGATTACTCAAAAGGTTGTCAAGCTTGTCAAAGACACCATCAGCCATTCCAAATGTCAAGGCTCTCATACAACACGGTTGCTTCCTTGAATGGAAACGTATTAACCGAGATAAAATTAAGTTTTTTCATAAAATAAAAGTCCAAACTCGGTTTTCTAGCAGAAATGTTCAAGAGAGATTCACTTCTTATCAAGGTAAAAGAATTTCAGGATCAAATTGGCCAGATTACCAGAATACTTGGCTGAGAGTGGTATCTAATCCTCAGCCAGAACCATTATTGGCTGAGAGAATTCTTTTAGCTCTTCAACCTCAACCAAATTTCAAGAAAAGAAAGCGGGAATGGAAACTAAAAAAGGTTAAGTTGAAGAGAAATTTGCGGAAGAAAATAAATCGGCCATTTAATGTAAAATTTTATGTGGCCGATGCAGTGCTACACGAAGAGAATCTTATTTTGTTCAAAAGAACGAATAAAATGGGGCGACCAGTATCAACCACTGTGAAAAGAAGTTCGGCTGATGTTAACTTTAGAAGGTTAGTCAGAAAGGCATTTTGGCCGAGGATAATGCTTCATCGGCCAGCTGTTGAGGTGCCAAATAAAGAATCAAGAAGGAGTCAGGCCATCATGGCCGCTGACATTCTGAAAGCTTACCCGGCAAATAAAAAATCGGCCATAAAAGAAATACTTTTCTTGGTATTTCCGGCAGATATAGTTGAAGTCATTAAAGAAGATGACTATTCAAAAACTTGGGATGACGTACTTTCAGAAGCTCCATGGGAGTATAAAAATTCAGGAGGATCAGCCATCAGAAAAGCTCCATATTGGCAGAATTTTGTTTTTTCAATAGAGAAGCCAGTTAGATCGGCCCAAATGACATTACATAACAACCTAATCTTGATCAATCACGATCATGCCTTGCCAGTAGAGTTGGGAAACTTCAATGGTGAGGTCTATCATAGGTTTATAAATGGCCAATATTTTGAGGGGTATCAGCCATCTTTGTGGGAATAATAGAAGAACCAAGATCGGCCAGTCCTTGTTGACGCAAAATAAAGACCAACTTAGAGGTGGTTCGGAAGAAATAAAGTCTAGAAGCTCGTTGGCTGCAAGTTTCTTTCATGTTATAAAAATTCCAAAAATCTAATCGGCTTGAGTGGCCGATAAGACATTTGAAATTTGGGGGGCATTTGTTGGCACCAAAACTTGGCAGCCATCTCAGCTATGACGTGGACTAATAAGAGCGAATAAGTATTTCTAATATGGAGTCAAAAGGATCGGCCAGTTTGAAAATATTAGGAGCAAATATAAAAAGATATATTTCAGCCACCTAATGATATGGCAATTGCTGAAGTATAGCAACTCACATTTGACTTTTTTCAAAATGGGTTGTTAATAGAAAAGGAAAAGGCTAGAGTTTGGATGAAACTCAATAACTAAATTCCTATAAAATAGGAAGTTTAGTTTGATGAAAGAAGGAAAGCTTTGAAGACATGTATAGAAGGTTGGCAGCATGAAGTGAACAAATCTAATTGTGACAAGTGGCCTTGACATGGCGCTAAAGGATAGGCCACTTGGGATAGAACACGGTTGCCAAGTTTATAAAAGGAAGTTGCTAGAACTTAGCAACTTTTCTGCAACATGCTAGCAACTTACATTTGACTAGATCAAAGAGAGTTTTCAACAAGGATTTTCCTATTGAAGCGAGGAGCAAGACGAGATAAGAAGCAAAAGAATACTGGGTTTTGACCTAGTTTGAATAACAAAGTGAAAAAAATAAAGGGAATGAGAGATTTTCTAGCAAGAAGTTAGGAAAATAAGTTGAGAAAAAACTTCTATAAATAGGAAAGATGTAATCCTATTCCAATTGTCCAGCACCACCACAAAACATGCATTTCAACTAAAAATGTTTTCAATTGACTCTACGTCATTTTCCTATCAATTTCTTTATTTCAATTTAATGGCAATTGATTAGATCCTCGTCAACTATTTCGATTCAGCCATTTACTTTCTTTCAATTTCAATTATGCCAATTTTAATTACGCAATTTTAGTTAGGCTTTCAATTCAATGGCAATTGATTAAATTCTTCCTATTGAATCGTAGTGACAATTGATTAAATTCTTGTCATTACTTGGCTGATGGCAATTGATTAAATTCTTGCTATCACGTTTCAGTGGCAATCGATTAAATTATTGCCATTGTGTTTGGCTGATGGCGATTGATTAAGTTCTCGCCATCACGTTCGGCCGGCGATCGATTAAGTTTTTGCCGCCTGTCTTCACTCGGCCATTCCATCCATTCAAACATTCATCAGCCGTTGTATTTCTTTAGACACTCTAAAAAGTCCTTGCTACAAACAAGGCATAAAAGAACCTTGCTGGGAGTTCTTACTAGTCTCTCTCCCACACAATCGCCTGAGAGTCAGCCATCGGAAAAAGGGATAGGCTGGTGTTCAATTACATATTTTGGGTATTTTGTACAAATACTCTGGCACGCCCGCGAAGAGTCCATCGACCGGCGTAGGGAACAAAAACCGCGCGAACAGAATCCATCCGTAATTACCAACTATGAACTATTTATTATTATTATTTATACTCGTGTATTGATCGTCATCGCATACATATAAATATCTCTTCTAATCAAGTGGACACTATCAATTCCATAATGAATTGAAACATAATACATTAAATTCACTAATTGTATAAAGCATAAATATATCATTTCAGATTTGCTAAAAACATATGCCACTTTAATTTAAATACAAATTCGCTATGCCCATACAAATCCCGACACCATTCCCCTCCAATTTGTCATCATCATTCCCTGAAGTTTCCCCTATTCCACAACTGAGAGAGCACCCCGACCCCACCAAATGGTCTATTTATGGCCAAGATATACTCTCTTAAACACACACACTAGCTTCTTTCTATAATCAAAGTGAAATTGTTCAGTGGCATCACCTTATCTGCAGCTCGGCATCAATCCCTCACCATAAATTCATATTATGGCTTATTGTTCTCAATCGACTCAGGAACGCATTGGCAAAGTGGTGAAACTTTGAATCATCTCCTTTTTTTTTCTTTTTCTTTTTTCTTTCCCTTTCATCCACCTAATTTGGAATTACATTCAATCCGTCTGTGGATTCCATGTCCTTCAAAACTATCTCGTCAACTTGGCAAACTCGTCCTATCTGCGGTCGTCCTTCATTAGACCACCAACGGACGTTCATTGGATCGCCTCTCCCAGTGGTGGAGAGGTGTTGACTCACGGAGTGACTCAGTTTGGTTTAAGCTGGCTTAGATCTGCTATTGCTTATTGGGCTTGTTGGACCTCTCTATACTGTTTTTGGTCTTTTTGTATTGGGCTTTCTGCTTAGGCCATATTGGTTGGCTTTTAGTCCTATTTGTTGGTCTATCCTTTTGGATTTTGTTGGCTCATGGCCTATTCCACCTATTGTGGTCCAATTTGAAATGATACTTAACACTCTAATTTTTTTTTTTTTCTTTCCTAATTGGTACTCACACACCCATACATTTATCGAGACTTGAACCCCGACCTCTTTTTGGGAAGTAAAAGCCCGATACTTAACATTTTATTTTTATTTGATGTTGCAACTCCACTTGAATTCCTTATTAAATAAAGGGTAAAGTGGAAAAAAACACACCTAATGTTTACATTTTGGCCAAATAATACACATATCCTTTATGTTATGTATATAAGTCCGTTAAATTTGAAAAAAAAAAGAAAAAAGAATGGCATATATTGCGTATATATGTCCATTAAGTTTGAAAAATAGGTAAAGGATGGCTTAAAGTCACTATTAAAAATATAAAAATCTAAAAACCCCATTTTCTCTTCCAAAAATAACCTTACACACACACACACACACAGAACCAAACATATCAAGTCGTCGTCCCTGTTCCATTACTTGCGGCAATGATGAAGAAGAAACTAAAAAAAAGAAAAAACTAAAAAAAAGAAAAAAGAAAAAAAGAGAAGAGATAGTTTAGTCATTTCACATTTAATTAAGTTTTTTATCAATTTTTTTTAATTAAATTATAGAAAGACACTTTAATCTTTTCATCATTCGGGTCATTATTTACTCCAAAATTAAATGTTAACGACTCTTTAGAATTATACACTTTATATCCATACCATATACATGTTTTTCGCTCGCAACCCTTAAATAAAATGATAAAATTATCTTTCAAAAATGGAGCATGAGTACATTTTAAAAGAATTGGTGATTAGCTTTGTGATTGTTCGCATTATTTGGTTGCTCATTCGCATTACTTATACATAATGTATATAGTTTCCAGACTATCTTCCAAATTCAAGTTTGGAGATTCAAGTTTGCACTGAAAACATCAATTTATGTGTGTTTGTTTTAACTTTTAATAAAAAATAAATAAAGCCCTGGGGTTGTCAATGGAATCAGAGTCCAAAATAACAAATTCAAAATTGTGTAAGAAACTACAAACATTTACCAAGCAAGAGCTAGTCCATTGAACTCTCTCTTAACATCCTACCATTTGTCATTATTCAGGCTTTCGACATGTAATGATAGCAGATTTAATCCAGTAGTTATTCAGGCTTTCGACATGTAATGATAGCAAATTTGATTAAATCCTTCTTGTATCCTTCAATCATCAACGGCATTGCCAACGCTCCTTTTATGGTTTTCCATCCTGATCAAGTTTATCCGTCAAGAAAGACAATACAACGAAAAACAAATAGATAATAGAAATGCATTATACATATGCACGTCAAGCACGCTAGCTTACCACTTCTCAGCAATGATGTGAACCCCTTCCATGTCAGTGCTGAACGTATCACCGCTGGCCAAAATGGAGAAACATTCTCAGACCAATCCGCTGCCTTAATATCCTGCATATAAAAGTTCAGCAACAATTTATTTAGTGCTTTACCACAAATATACGGTTCAGAACGCAAACCAAAGCAGTCAAGAAGTTATGCTGATTGCAAATTCAGAACACTTCAAGCACGAGAATAATTGATCCATATTTAGCTCCCAACACAAGAAGTTATTACCTGAAGAGAGAGGGACTGAAGTAAGTTCACATAATCAGCTGTAGAACACCAAGCTGGAAGATGGTAAGCATCACATATCTTGTTCAATAGATTTTTTTCCTCTGGCCGCAAGGATTCTTCAGAAGGGGAGAGATCCCTATGGCACCAGGTTACTATTATTATCGTGGCTCCTGGGGCTGCTACTCGAGCCAACTCATGAATAAACTACCAATTCGAAAGGGAATAGTATAACATGAAACGACGAGATCGAATTAGCCATGAAGCATTAAAAAAGAAAATTCAAGCTAACATACTACTGTTCTTTTTAGTTCAATGATTTAAACTTGGAGTTTCCTGGAGCCATGGACCCCCGCTAATTCTGCAGTGGTGTAAGAGAGAGGAAGTACCTTAGTTTTGTCAGGCATGTGTTCTCCACTCTCCATGGACCACACCAGATCAAATTGTCCATCAGGAAATGGTTGGTTTAAAGCATCTGCAACTTGAAAGGAAACCTGCTAATTGTTCACCATTGTTACATAAACAATTTTTTTTTTTTTTTTTTTTTTTTTTGAATAAGCACATCATTGTTACATAAACATAATCGAAATCTTGTATTTCTTGTCTAGAGTTCAAGAAAGAAACGAAAAATAAAATAAAAAGGGAGGTAACCATTAGGATAGATGATTGTACGGAGTGGAACTATTCTCTCATTACTTACCACCTAATAAATATTAAAGGAAACATTCTTGTCTTGTGCGTTGTTTTTAGGGCTGACATTTTCAAATAAACTATTAAATACTACCATACAACTCGGTACTGTTTTGAGGGCGTTACGAGATAGGAGAATATATTTTTCCAGCCATAACTGTAACCTGATATCAGAAGTTTCCTGATAGACACTCAAAAACTATCAGCCTTCCCCAATGCTTAAATATTTATTTCAAGAAATTAAAAGAATAAAAAACCTATATCCAAGCAGGGTTCAAAATAAAATTTTGAATCCATATAATCACATATTTGAACATAAAATAAATAAATCTCAGAGAAGGTAGGTGAGGTAGGAGCCACAGGAAGGGTTCCTAATATATTTCCTTTCTAATAATAATAAAAAATTAATTAATTAAACTAGCGAAAAATGGGAATTGATAGGCTCCAAAATACCTTGTCCTCTAATCCTTGTGCACCAGCAAGTGCTTGAGCCCTCTGGGCTTGGACGGGGCTCAGGGTAATGCCTTGGCATTGGGCTCCAAATTTTCTTGCTAGGTATCTAGAACTGCCTCCTATCCCACACCCAACATCCACAATACTCTTAGGTTTCTTCACGGGGTCTTCTGCAAAACAATTCATCAATATAAAATCAAAAGGTAGAAGAAGTACATAAATTTATTTAAAAAAAAAAAAAAAAAAAACCTCAATTCGTACATGTGCTGCCGAGAAGCACACGCAGACAAAGATACAGAGAGATCATCAAATCAAATTCAAGCATCCAACAACTAAAACAACGCTTCAGTTTTTATATCCAATCACCAATACAATATCATCAGATCTTTTTCCATATGCATTCTCAGAATTGACCTAGTATCCTATGCAATAGCTAGACTGAACAACATTAAGGATACAAGTTGTGAATAACACAGAGCATATCAAAAGTATTTCTTTGGGGTCTATTCGAATAGATTTTGGAGTTTATTATTCTTGACAACAGAAGAAATCAGATAAGATTATATAAATCACCTTCCATATTTCACCTCACACAATTCCTAGCTATATTATCTACACATCTTAATAATAACAAATCCCTGAATCACACACAGAACAACAACCCCCTCTCTCTTTGTTAAGAAACCCCCACCCATTGTCTCTCTTTCCACAAGCAAATGGGGAAAGAGTTGGTGATTTCCATATTGGTCTGTCTCGAATTTGTTGATTTACATTTCAAATCTTTCCAAGAAAAATTGGGCAAAATATTGCAAAATAGGAACCCTTTTTCCCTTATTATTATTGAAAAACAGAAGGTTATCCTCAAGTTCTTTACATGCCCATCACATCACTGTAATATTGTCCAACCCACCAAAACATCAAATTTATATACTGAGTATAGTTTTAAATTTTGATTCTTCTGAATGTTCTACACTGTTAATTTGAACAAAACAAACCAACTATTTTGAAGTACATATTATCTACAGATATATATATATACATTTAGAGAGAGAGAGAGAGGAGGAGAAACGAGGATGAACCAGGAACAGCGGCAAATTGGAGAGTCTCTTCAATCATACGAATCTGAGCGGAGCGGTGATCGGAGACGGTGGCGCTGGCGTTGGGGTTGTAGAAGCCGTGGTGCATGTGGTCACCCCATATGTCCTCCCAAACCCCCGATGACTGATCGTAGAACTCTGCTATCCCTTTCTGCAAACTCTCTGTTTCCTCCTCTGTAGTCACCGGTTGAGCCGTCGCACTTTTGGTTGTCATAGCCAGCCGCCACCGTTTGGTTGGGCACTCAACGCCACCAGCCACCACCAATCCGCGGCGGTGGAATCGTGTTGAATGAGGTCGGCTGGTGTATAGGACACGCACCAAGGCTGAGTCGCACGTGCTGCACAATGCACTCATTTGGGGGTGGGTCACACAACTCACACGCTAAACAAATCTACCACTCGGTACTTTTTTATATAGGAAGGTGGAGACAACTCAAATGACGTCAGTAAGACCGTGAGTGATGGCGATTGGGCATTTATTTTTTATTCGGCTCCATTCAGATTCACTACAGCTTCTATCGTTTTCATATATGGGAGCAAAATGGTTGCGGAGGATGCCGAAATTACAAACACCCAAAGTGGGAAAAAAACAAGGGAATTTAGATAGCGCTCAATGACTAAGAGCAGGCCCAATTGTTTTCCGATTTGGGTCGCACCAGTCTGCTTTATTGTAGGTTGCTAAAATTAGGTCATGTCATGCGGATTGGAGACCCTATTAGCGAGCGCAGGCCCGTATGACAGACCCGCATATATTTTCTTTTTCTTTTTCAAAGTGTAGCTCAAGTCCCTATTTTAGCCCAAAACACTATTTATAAGGTCATGTTGGACTGAAATAAAAAATCACATTTTTGGCGCTGCTCTTTTTTTTTTTTTTTTTTTCCTCTCTCTCCCTCCAAATAATTGAACCAAAGAACCGTTAAGGCATTATTTTGCTGACACAAATAGTGTCTTAAACCAAACAGTGCCTTAAAGGCTTTTTTGAACAAAAAAAAAAAAAGTTTTAAAAAATTGAAAAAAAAGTGATATTTTTTTCCTTTTCAAAATTTTCAACGTTCCTATTGAGGATTGTTTGGTTGACCCAAACAGTGCCTTAATGGCTATATTGGCTAACCAAACAATTTTTTATTTTTTATTTTTTGTTTTCCCTAACAAATTGAAATTTATTTTAAAATATGATTTTTTTTTTATTAAAAAAAAAAATGTGTCTTTGTTTTCACCTCTATAAATTAATAAATCAGATGATATTAGATATTGTGTTGTTTACTCATACATATTGGCTAAATAATTTAATCAACAAACAATTTAATTATTTATTTCAAAATAAAACATTACACAATAAATATTCCATTACATAAAATTCATAACAATTTAAAAATAAATAAATGCAACATGAATTAAACACTTTCTTCACCAAAGCGGTTTTACAAATTTTCAATTAAATATTTCTTCAACCGCGTATTTGTCTTTTTGTTGCGAATTTGAACTTGGTGAGAGTAGATGCGTGCTGTTAAAACCGATGGATTTTGAATTAAAGTGGGAATAGAGTGTAACCTCTGGTGGCGGAGTCCATCTTCCAACTTTGGCATGGCACTCATCTTCAATGATTATGTTGTGAAGGATGATGCACGTTTTCATTATAAGGCATAAGTCCCTTTTATCCCAACAACGCATTGGTCCTTACGTTATTGCCCACATGATCTGCAAGACCCCCAAAAGCTTGTTCCACATCTTTCCTATAGGTCTCTTGTCTTTGAACAAAAAGTTTTTCTTTTGTTGTAGTTGGGTGCGGGCTGGTTTGCATCAAAGTTGCCCACTTAGGGTATATACCATTAGATAGGTAATACCTCATTATATGGTAATGGCCATTCAAAACGAAATTAACTGAAGGAATTTGGCCAGTAACGATATTGCCGAATACCGGAGAATGATACAGTACATTAATATTTTTTTTTCTTAAATGGTACTCACACACATATGCCTCCACCGAGGCTCGAACCCCTGACCTCTATTTGAAAAGTAGGAGCCTAATACTGCTAGGCACATTAATATCATTGTGTGAACCCGGCATTCCAAAGAATGCATGATAGATCCACAAATCTTTTGAGGTAACTGCCTCCAATATGAGCGTAGGCATATGAGAGCGTCCTTTGTGCATGCCATGCCACGCCACCGGACAATTATTCCACTCCCAGTGCATACAGTCGATAGAACCAAGCATGCCCGAGAATCGTTTCTCCTCCCCTTCTTGAAATAGTCGTGCTATGTTGGCTTCATTGGGTGGGCACATGTACTCTTCCCCATACACACCAATAACAACCTTACAAAATGTCATCAGGGTTTCAATGGCAGTGCTCTCGCCGATTTTAATATACTTGTGATGACCCGAATTTCAAAGAACCCGGTGCGTCAGCAAGTAACTTGAAAACTGACCCGATAATGGATCCCAAACGCGGAAGCAACAAAAGAAAAGAGGTCTCAAGAGATTGACACCACCTCTAAGACGCCAAAGTGACTTCCCGTGAAGTCACGAGACTCAAAAAGAAACAAATGCAAAATGTAAGGTTTAAAACAAACAAGGATTCTAATAGGGGTAAAATGATCATTTCAAAAGAAATGGATGCTACCATGCATACCATTAGATAGACAACGAAAAATTAATAGACTTTGACTCAAAAATCACTTGATTTGGAGCTAGAACGAGAAAGATATGAAATTTTGAAGTTTTACAAAAAAAAAAATTAATAATAAAAATAAAATAAAAAATGACAAAAATGTGCACAGGTACGATTAGTCGTAAAAATCACGAATGAGGAAGGCAGAATTTTGGTTCCAGGTACAATCGATTGTACTAGGAAATAATCGATCGAAAAGGGTAAATTTTTTTTAAGGCTAAAATGATGTGCCTAGGTGCGATCGATCTCACTTTGGGTACGATCGATCGAAAATGCAATGAACGATGAAAAATGTGTTACGATCGATGGGCTACAACCTGACAGTTTTGGAAAATTTGAAATTTCAGGGGTAAAAAGGAACTTTTGGGGAAAATTTTGTAAAGCAACCCTTATCTAAATTCAATTTTAAAGTCACCTATGGTCTAAACCAAGAATGGAAAGCAATGGAAAATGACAAAAATGTCCCAAAGTGCAAACAATACATGAAAGATAAAAACATGCTGCAAAATGATATACTTTCAAATACATCGAGGTGCTTGGCCCTAGGCCTCATTACATACAAGTTAAGTAGCATCAAAAGAGATTGTTTAAGTACATATTACACACCCAAAAGAGGAAGCTAAACATGCTTCTTACAACATTACACATTGTTAACTTCAACAGACTGCTATATTATGCTAACACTTACATGCCAAAAGTATACAAAAGATGCGTGAAATGTAAATACAAGTTGAGCTATGGATGGTTCGCATCCAAAAAGAGTGTCTCCTTGCCTAAAAAATAATAATCAACTAGGGTGAGTAATCGAATTACTCAGTAGGATGATGCATATGCGTATACCCTAAAGTTTCAATGGTTTTTGCAAGTGTAATATAAACCAAACACATGTGGATCATACCTCCTAACGTCTAGTTTCAAGGGGAAGCTAAGGGAACATCCTAAAGCTATATTTGAAACATTTTGAAAGCAATCCACAATAAGTAACATACTTAACAATATTAGAACCTCCAATGTAAAACAACAAGTAATGCATTCGAACAATATTGGATATCCAATATAAAACGACAAGTAATGTATTTGAACAATATTGGAACATCCAATGTAAGCAACAAGTATGCATTTGAAAAATGTTGGAACATCCAACGTAAAACAACAAGTTACAATAGCAAAGTAATGTCAACTTGGAAAGTGAAACGCGAAATCAAATAATAGAAATATCTTAGATGTGGCATCCAGTTATGAACATCATAACCAAGACAATTAGTTTTTTTAGGCTATTAACCCACAAGGAACCACCTAAGTGCGCACTATTTTGGGGAGAACTTGTACCTCCCATACTAGGACCGTACCCTAGCCATGTCAATGTAACAATGCCCCAAGTATTTCCAAAATCAACAATAGTGTCACAAAAATTACATAGTTATACAATGCATCTAATCACCTTCCATGCGCAACTAAATTTCGAAATCACATAAACCATGCTCTAAGTCTTCAAGCTACAATGGCATTTGTAATGTCAAGTTTATAATGTAAATACAACTATGCTACTACAAGGTTGTTAAACTAGGAAATCCATTCATGCAACATAGTACTTCAAATCCATAATTTAAACAACTTAGTATAATTTCACAACATAATTATTAGCAAGAATTATTTTAGAATTTCATAGTTAAAACTATTGAGAAAACGAAAGTTTTTAAAACTTTATGAGGGTTTTTCAAACAAAGATCTTGATTCACGTATAGAGACAAGTTTTATGCATGAAGAATATGATGATCCATTCAATTTAGGGATAGAAAACTTACATCAAGGTTTGAGTAAATATTAGATTTCTCCTCTAAAGTGAATGTTCTCACTTATTGTAGATCCCTTTGCTAGAAACCTTCTCCTTGGATCTCTATCTTCTTGGTAATGGTCTTGCCTTTAGGAATCACCCATAAGCCTCTATCAATGATGTGACGACCCTAGTTTTTAGGCCAGCGTGTCCTGTGATGAACCGTAAGGATGATCCAATAGCGGATCCGAATGCGGAAACGAAAACAGAAAACAAGACTCTAAGAAGTCAAAGTGACCTTCCATGAGGTCGTGGAACTCAACAAGAACTGATGCGGAAGTAAAAGATCGAAAACATGACAAATAAGCCCCTAGGGGCAAAATAGTCATTTCTAAAAACCGAAGATTCGGGTGCCACCGAGCACACCCCTGGAAGGACAACGAAAAACTAATCAAGATGGACTCAAGAATCGCATGATTCGGAGTCCGGACGAAGGAGAAATGGTATGACGATGAAAAATGGACACTTAAAGCTTTAAGGGCAAACTGGTAATTATTCAGAAATATCCGGGTGTAACCGAGCACACCGTTGGATAGACGACGAAAAATTAATCAAGTTAAAAATAAAATTCACTTGAATCGGAGTTCGGACGAAAGAGAAAAGCCCAAAAGAAGAATTGACGTCGCGGCGGCCCGACGAGGGGCCATGACAACCCCATGCACACACCCATGCACGTGCCCATGCACGCCGCGCGCACGCTGAGTGCACCATGGCTTGCAGCAGCCCATAAAGCTGCTGTGTGGGTTTGTTTTCCAGTAAAATCCAGAACAGAGGCTGAATTTGGAGGCTTAGATGAATTTTTTTGCAAAGACACAAAGAAGAACACCCCTTCAAAATTGAGTTTTCTACAAGACTCGCGAGAGAATTAAAAAAAAACGCAATATAG